GAATAAGCAGCAACTCACAGTTGGCCTCTTCTTTGTAGCATGCTTGTGAACTGCAAATCTTTCATATTCTCTTTTCATACATCACATTTTTCCTTGGTGGCCTTAGGCATAATACTCAAGAGACAACCACTACAGAGGTTTTACTGACTGCATGTACTAATTATAGTAGAAAGTCCAAACTCTAGCAAAGAATGTGGAGGAGGTAAGATACATCCTTGTTTTGTCCCCTGATGATACACTGAGCATTTACAAACCAGGTATAACAGTTAGACAACCTTATGAATATATCAAAGAAATTGTATCTTAGTTTACGACACATCCTTTTTCTTTACTATATATGTTTCTTCCTAAATCTTTAGAAGAGGCAACAATTTCTGTGTGTGATCCCTTTTATTGGATTGACTGCATGCTAGAGATAGATTTAGACAAGCTTTTGAATGCAATGCATTCTTCTTCAGGTCTGAGGGAAAAGCAAGAAAAGAAAAAGATTAAAAGTAGTTTGCAGGACTGTGAAACTGGAGAAAAGAGAAATTCCCGGGGATAGCAGACAAGCAAATCACAAAAGGAAGAATAGCTTGATTAATGGAAGATGATTACCTGTCAAAAGGAAAGAGACATTTTCACCTATAATGCAAAGGAATATTATCTAGTGTCAGGTAGATTATAATAAACCATGAAGTCAGTATCGATATTCAGTCCTTTGTTCTTAGTGTTCAGCCAGCTTATGAACTTTTGCTCATAATTTGAAGGCATTTTGTAAATTTTCCCTGAGCATGGAGACAGTGAGGTCAGAAAGTGACTGGTTATTCTGTGAACAGTGTTTGTGTGTGTCTGTCTTTAATCTTTTTCCTCTGATCATTCATTCTAGTGTGTAGTTTTTAGTTTAGTTTCACCCAAATGGTTTCCATGAAGGCATTTGATGCACTCGATGACATGGATCACATTTTGGGAAAGATATGAATAGGATCCATGGATTCTGATGTGTTTATTGTGGAAGGTGTTGATTGATGTAGCAGCGGAAATGTGCTGACAGGTTTTGAATCTATTTTAAAGCAAGGCTGTGTACCATTTAATATCTGTTGAATAGCAGCAAGTTTGCTCTGATGTTGAGTTGGCCAAGGTTTGGGGTTTGCTTGAAAGCCAGGAGTGCTGGGGCTGGAAATAGTTCTCTCAAGGTCTAATCTTTATCAAGTATAGGCTGTAACTGTTTGATGATTATTTTCATTGGTTCAAGTGTGAGTTGATGATTGTCAATTTTATGGTTGTAAGTATGGTGGCCTGTGGGTTTTTTGCATGTAGTGGTTGGTATGGTGCCATCCCAGATATGGATCATGGTATCTAGAAAGTTGATGTTAGTCCAGGAGTATTCCAGAGAGAAATTGGTTGAGAGGTGATAGTTGTTAAACCAGAGGTGGAAATCAATAAGTGTATCCAGATATTCAGTCCAAATGATGAAAATAACATCTATGTAATGCAGGTAGAGTGCAGGTATGGTGGTGTAGTTTTTTAAAAAAAATCCTCCTCCAGGTGGCTGAGAAGGAGGTGGAAACTGCAGACACAGCAGTATCTGCCTGGCTTCATGCTGCCTCTTCATCCCCTAAGTAGAAAACTCTTTAGACAAAATTTGGGAGGTTAGAATTGGACTTAGTGTGGACACTAATCAGAGCAATGTAAAACAGAAAATTCATCTTAAGAAGCCTGAGAATGGCACTTAAGAGAAACTGGCAACTTTTACCGAAAATTCTTATATTTGATAAAAAAAAAACTCCAAAACATAATTTTAACAATAATAGAATATTTGTGCACTTAATTCCAAATCACAGAATTGCTATTCTATTATTTTACCTATCATTTCTAAAATCTGAATTCTAAAAAAGTAAACTCCTAAAGTACTCAATGGAAGTTCAAATGTCACAAATGTACATATACAAATGGAATTAAAGTGATGGAAATGCTCACTAGAGCTTTTTGAGCTGTTTGTCCTTGTACATACAAAAGTATTGATGTGAACCAACATTCTGCACATGATATTTTGAGGATTAGGCCCATATTTATACTCCAGTTAAGAATTTCATATATATTCCATATATGTATGTATATATTAGGGCTGTGCAAAGCTTTGATCCCTGATTTGATTCAGCAGAGAAATGGCCTGATTTGGTGGCCGAATCTCTGAATCCAAATAGAATCAGAGGAACCTTTAATCTCTCTGAATTGAATCAGAACCCTCCAAACTGATTCAGAGAGATTCAGAAAGATTTAGAGATTTGGACATAGAGACAGTTTTTAATGTATTTTCTGCATCCCTATAGGTAGCAGGGGCTTGTGAATGCTGCGATGCTGGGGTGCATGGAGTGTCTGACAGAAGCACGGGGTGCTCCTCAGTGCATTCGGCAGCAGACCCAGAATTCTGGGTGCATCTCTCTGGCTCAGTGACTGGTGTCTCCTGAGTCAGAGGGGCCACCCAGGATCCCCCAGCGGCTGATTGCCAAGCTGAGGAAGCGCAGGGGGGGCCCCCAGTTTGATCCCTGGCAGATCTGGAAGTGGTTTTACCCCCCTCCCCTGCACTCCAATGGGATGCTCCATGCACCCTAGCATTGCAGCGATCATGAGCCACACCTGCTACCTCAAGGTAGTAGAAAAAACTTTTAAAGCTGTGTGTATGTCCAGATCACTGATTCTGTGGATCAGCGTTGAATCTTCAGATTCGGATTCAGCCGAATTGAATCAGAGACAGTGATCCGAATCAATGAATTGAATCACTGTCCCTGATTTGGGCCAAATCGGAATTGAATAGGGGCCGCTTCACACCCCCCCAGTATATATGTATGTACATACACATATGTATGTACACATATATGTATGTACAGATATGTATATAAGGGAATACTTACAAAATTCTTAACTGGAGTATGTGTAATATATATATGAGTAGCCCAGATGTATACTTACACACATGCGCGCACACACGCGCGTGTGCACGTGCTATATATATAAAGTAGTACTGCAAACATTGAACATATACGTATAGATAGATAGATAGATAGATAGATAGATAGATAGATAGATGAGTATTCATTTCCTTTTACTGGATGAATTGTATATTACTCTTTCACATTAAACAACATTATTTACATGAGGTTTCTAAGGACAACCGTGGATATCACCAGCCTGTACACTAATATCCCAGATCATGAAAGCACAGGTGCCTCCCTGAAATGCCTAGAAGCACATGAACTACACTCAGATTTGCAACAACATTGTTGTACAATTGTATAAATTGTCCACTTTATCCACACCCACATCAATTTCACTTTCAACAATTAATATTTCCTCCAAACCATGGACACAGCTATTGGCACAAAGATGGCTCCTTAATATGTCCGCCTATTCATTACCAGCTGATCGGCTGATTAGTTCCAAAAAAGCCCTCAGTGGACACTGTTCTGTCTGTCTTGGTTCCAGGGAAATTGGACACACATACACAGAAACCTCTCAGCATTAGCTATCATGGGGGTGGCGTGGCCAGATGCTGGCTAGGGCCCGTGCTTCTGGGGTCCCTGCTGTAGGAGAGGGGAGATCCCTTCTTAAGCAGTGAGTGAGGAGAGGATGAGGCAGGGTGAAGACAGGCAGATGCTGCTGTGCCTGCAATGTCCACCTCCTTCTCATCCAGCTGGAGCTCTGGCTAGGGAGGAGAGGGGCAGGGTCAGCCCTGCTCTCTGGAGCAGACAGCCCAGCCCAGCCTAGCCCAGGGCCGAAAAGTGTGCTGGGATGCAGGGGGATGATGATTTAACTTAAGCCAGGAAGGGGCCTGGGACAACAGTTCCATGAATTCGTTTGGCCCAAATCTGATACTACATTCAACCAGGTTTATCTTAAACCAGTTTTGCCATTTTGGAACTGGTTTATTTGCACTGAACTTATGTTCTGTTACAAGTTTAAACCAGTTTCTGATCACTTAAAGTGTTTTAGGTGTAACTTCTGTCCCTAGCCTAGAAAGCAAAGGCTTTGTACTTTAAACAAGCTATACCTGTAAAATCCCATCTCTGGGGATTCCCCATTGGTGGTAGCAGAAAATGCAGAATGCTTTTGGGGGGTTCGGGGGGGAGGGTTGGATAATTGTGCTAGTTGAAGGATTTTATTTGCAAGTAGATGGACAGCCATGTTGAATATTTGACCCTTATGCCTTTTGATTGGTGACTAGGCCTGTCTTTAGCCAAGAAGTCCAAACAAGACAAGAGGGAAGAGTAATGTGATATTAACCTAATATTGACACCTATAGCCAGAGATTTTTTTCTGTATTTGATATTAAGAAACTTTTAAATCTATTTTAGATATTTGTAAGGCACTGAACTCTTGTTATCTAAATGTAATCAGTCATCCCATCTAGGAGCAGGAACGTGAGGATCTTGCTAGAACTATTAATTCACCCATTAGAAGCTTTCATTGAGTCTCTACTGTTTTCTGTTTCTGTTTTAGTCTTTCATAGGTTCTTAACCAGCCCCTATCTTTGTAGTATCTAAGTATCTTCTAAGAGAGCCTGAAATGATGTGGAAAACATTTGTCACATGCTTCATTTATTTTCTCTTCATCTCTGCAGAGCTAGATTTATGGTACAATACAACATTTTGTTTTTGTTAGGGTATGAGTTTGTTTGTCCAAGCTTTGATCTGTTGATCTTTCATGGTTTGAGGACTACTGGTTCCCATAAGCAGCAGACCAATATATTTGCTACTGTCTTCCAAGTGTTAACCAAAAATTTTAAAAAATAGGAGCCCGTATTTGAGTTTGGGCAATTGGAACATTTACAATTGGAAGTACTTATTTGGGTGCGTAAATCCAAATTTAGAAGTCTAGTCATTAGACTCCTATCTTTATAATCTTTTGATACTAGAACTAGTGGGAACTATCTAAAAATTCGAATTAAAATGTCATCTGTACTATAGCATAAAACCTGCATAGTGTCCCAATCTAAAACATGATCAACACAAACATTTCAGCATGTCATTGTGCTTCTCAATTTCAGGTTTTCTGTAAAAGTGCACCAGTTGTTAAAAGTTTAGTACAAGTTATCATCTGCATTTTTCACTGGTGAAAAAAAGGACTCATCTCTATATGAGAAGTTCTGCTATATTGCATGTGAAAAACCCAGATGTCATTCCTGTGGGGCATATGCCTAATAATGTTTAAATAACTAAACAGATGGCATTTCTACAAATGCATTTACTGTGCAGTAACATTTTAGGCCAGTGTCTGCACATGACACAGGTATCAAATTTACACCCAAGTCGGCATAAGTCACCATAGTCCATGTGCAGTGCAGGTGTGCATGTGTAGATGTGTGCCTGTACTGCTCAGTAACCTAAATTACTATACAGTAAATGTGCGTATGTAGATGCATTGAGAGTGTATGAATGTGCATTGCATCACTTTTTATTGAAAAACAACTGCAGTCTGTCATTGATCCAGGTCTAATCTTCAACTTTTGGTCCTGGTGACCATTTGTTTTGTTTTATTATTTGTACCAGAACTACATGAATTAGCCACTGATTAGGTAAATGAAAAATGTATTTTTAGAACAATCTCATGGATTCATTATAGGTCTTACTTAGAGGTCAAGGATAAAACCATTATTTTTTTAGGAGCCAAGATATTTCTTTCCTATAACTAGGTTTATTTTAAATCCTTGCTCTGAGGCATAAGTGTCAGAGCTGATAAAGTATTCTGTTTATTGGTGCCACCAAAACCAGTGCAAGCATTGACAAGGTAAGGCGTTAAAACTAATCACTCCAACACCAGGGACAATTAAATTTCAATGACAGTCAGCCTTATCACTGAAGGGTTCATTTTTCAGCTGTTTTAAGCTCACCATTGGAAGGTCAAAATGACTAAATTAAAAGTGTTTTCATCTTGCCGTGATGCATTCTGGCACTTCCTGATTTAGTGACACTACTCGATAGATACTTATATAATTGAAGGATATTAGCAGATTAACATTTGATATGTATCATGCAACAAATCCCTAATCACACCAATGCTTAAATCTAAAAGGAACAGAACACTTAGGCAGGGTGCCAGTTTCCTGTTGTTATAAAGCCACCAGTGTGTTAGCAATATTTTCCCTTTATGCAATAATTAAACATTATTGTTAGGTAAGAATGAGACCAGAACACAAAAATTCCAGCTCCCTCATTGGCTATTGTTTGCTGTATTTATGGTTAGGTACAGGCATTCAAAAAGCCTGAGGCAGAATGGATCTAAGTTACATGGTTTACTCTAAGTGCCCTAGAGAGCAAACAAAACAAATGTTTGTCCCTTTGGGAGGGACGCACAGGCTGCCTGCATTGGCCGAGGTGCTCCTGCACATCTCCCGGCTGTCTGCCTGGGTTGCCAGACACTGTCAAGCTCAGCCAAGTGCAGCTGAGTGCCCAGGATGCCCCTGACAGGCTGCCCTGCAAACAAGCCTACCCTATTTGTCAGCCACAAGCATCTATATCAGCTGCAGGCAGCCAGCACAGGGAGATACACTCACCCAGCAGCCTGGTTGGGCTTTAGCTCAGTGGGACTTCTCCCACTCATGTCAGCATGGGGGTCTCTGAGTTTTGTCTGAGGTGGGGGAAAAGGGGTTTGCCCCAGGCAGGACAGAGGGAGTGGGGCTCATGAGCTGCCAGGGTCAGGCAATGCCAGTGATGCATCCCTCATTCCCAGCTTGGGTCAGTGGGACATAGAGCATCCCTCCCCTGTCTTGGTTCCATCTGAGCCCTAGGACTTGTGCACTGGAGGAGCTCCAGGAAGGCCTCAGAGGATTCCCCCACATCCTGCAAGTCAGTGCTGAGTTCTTGGTTGAAGCTCCTTCCCCTGTAGCCATGGGGCTCAGGTCCCTGGGGATGGCAGGGGTAGGTGACCATGAGCAATTCCAGTGCAGGAATGGGCTGCAATCTGGGGAGCTGGGCAAGCCCCAGCCCAGCCCCACCTGCTACACAAATGCTGACTGCTGACAGTTGGGTGGGCTCAGCTCAGGCAGGTCCATTTCCATCATGATCTCATGAGCAACCTCACCAGCTCCCCTCCCCTGACTTCAGTGGCAAAGGCAGCTGGGATCAGAGTGAATCAATGGAACCACTTGTGCAGGGGTGGGCAAAATGCAGCCCGCGGCCAGATGTGGCCCACCAGGCCAGTCTATCCGGCCTGCGGGGCCCCTAAAAAATTTAGAAAATGAATATTGATCTGCCCCTGGCTGCCTGTCATGCGGCCCTCAATGGCTTGCCAAAACATAGTAAGCAGCCCTCTGCCCAAAATAATTGCTCGCCCCTGCACTAGTGAATACCACTACCTGCCACAGGCTGCGGGTAGCTGCTTACCCCATCCCGACCTGCTCCCAGAGATGTCATGGCGCATCTCAGGGGCCCACAGCTCCCTGCAGTATGTGGAGGCTGCCTGGAGAGTCCCAAGCCAGGGAAGGTGAGCAACAAAAAGCAGGGGTTGCAGAGTGGTGCTTGAGCTCCCTTCCACTCTGCAACCCCTGCCTTTGGTTGCTCAACTTCCCTGGTTTTCTGTGGCCCTGACTTTAGGATCCAGTTCTGCTCCTTCGAGGGAGACTTCACCTCCTCTTGGAGCAACTCAGTGCAACCCACAGATCCAAGCAGCATAACGGATAGTTTCTAAAAGGCATTTACTGGGGCAAAGGCCTATCAGCCAGAAGTTCTCTATCCCTTCTAAAGGGATTAAGCAATCCCACTATCCCCAATACAGGCCATACAGACCTAAACTGAGTTGGAGGTCTCCAAAGATATTCAATTGTTTCCTTTCTAAACTCTCCAGCTCCCCATAACTTCTCCATGTCTCCGAGTCCCCAGACAGGGCACTTTGCAAACAGCTTGCTGGGAGCAAGAGGAGAAAGGGGAAGAGGAGCCAGGTACCAGGCACCAGATTGTGCTCCAGGAAGGTAAGTGAGCCAGGGCTACCTGAGAGTTTGTTTGGTCAGCTGTGTGTTTAGGAATGTGCTCTGAGCAGCTGGGAGTGCTGTTAGCAGGGTGACTGCTGCGTGATTGCTGCCTGTGTCTGACCAAAGCCCTAACAAGGGTATGGTACTGCAACAGCAGATAATGCCCCAGACATCGTGTCTGCCCCAGCTGTGGAGTTGCCTGCTACCCCCTTAGGTTTTAGAGACTTTTGAAAGCTAAAGTATTTTTAATGTAAATAGACTATTGCAGCCTTCTATAGGCTCTATTTGTAAGGATGTTTGCCACATAAACAAAACGACATAGTGACTACTTCCACCCATGGTGTTCCTGTCTGCATTGCTTTGAATGTTATCTAACTGGGGAATGGGCAGTTGGGAGAGACAACTAACTCTTGTTTTTACACATAGCAGGAGAACTGTGTAATTTTTTTCTCCATCTAAAGCTAATATAAAAATCAGTTTACGTTAGCACTCACTCACTCATGCTGCAAAGCCAAGTCATATAATTTCCAAAAGTTAGCTATTTTGATTTTTTTATTTTATCATGAATCTCCTGGAGGAAAATACAACAGTTTCTTTTGATATGATTTAAGTAAACGTTTTTGAAGATACTCAGCAATATAAAAATCAGCATTTTTGTCAGGTTTTGGACCAAATCAAAGTATTGTTTTGGTCTGAAGGGCAGAGAGAAATCAGAAGTTTAAGACAATGATCATTTGAAGATGAATTTCTTGGCAAGTGTATATTTGAACCTGTCAGAATGACCTGACCTGGAAGAAAATCATTGCAGCTAAACTATGAATATATGAGATTGCTTAATATGTTATGCTTGTTTACCCAGATGAAAGCATAATGCTGGTTAATTTTAAATGATGCCTGGGATTAGGAATAGATGGAATCATTATTGTCTGTCATCTTTGTATTCCTATGTTAATGCCCAAAATGAGGCGGTATATTATGCTGGATAGCATTTAAGATGAAAGGTGTCTAAGGCCCCCTCTACACATACAAGTAAAGATACAATTGCATTTCATGTGTGATCCACATGATTGTGCCTCCTTCCATGCTAAGTATGAATGGCAGGAGGCATAATTGTGGGATTGTGCAGTAGATCCAATCATGCCTTATTGCCAGTGTAGCAGGAGCCTTATCCTGGGCTCCTTCTGCATTGGCAAACAGAGCCATCCCTAGGGGTGTGCGGGGCCAGGGGGTGGCAAGCAGCCAGAGAGCGGGGGGGGGG